ACAGTGAGTTTGTTCAGCCATCCATCCAGTTCTTAAACCTTTGGCCATTATTAAGTGGTTTTTTAAGTGTCTAGGACTGGGGTTGTGGTCACATGCACCAGATAAAGCGTGTGTGTGGGGGGGAAGCGAGGCTATTTCCTCCAGAGGAATTTGACCCGCAGTTGTAAGATCACACCTCCTTTTGAAGCTGCGGGTGCAGCCCATCAGTGTGTGATCGGACGCAACTGCAGGTGAGTCATTGATTGTTGGTTTTTTGCCTTTGTTTCGCATGCGCTTAAATGAGGAATCGATGAATTGCACCTCCGCACTGAGGGCTCCCTATGGAGTTTGTGATGATGTGCATACTGAGAAGGGGGGGAACAACAGCATGGAGTTGGGATGGCCTGATCAGACCATCCTGATGGCATGAGAGTGCGCTGGAGTGATCAGACAGGGGAAAGTCTGTCCGTGGCCCATCGCAACCCATTTACTACCAGATTCTCCAAATGAGGTCGCACCATTGATTTATATAGGGGCATTATGATATTGGCTGCTCTGTTTTCAATACCCTTCCTAATAATCCCCAGCATAGCATTGGCCTTTTTTATTGCAGTCACACGCTGTCTCGACATTTTCAGTGAGTTATCTACTACAACTCCAAGATCTCTCTCTTGATCAGTCTCTGCCAGTTCAGACCCCATCAACTTGTATTCATATTTAGGATTTTTGGCTCCAATGTGCATCACCTTGCACTTGGCCACATTGCACCCCATTTGCCATGTTGACGCCTACTCGACCATCCTTGACAGATCCCTTTGGAGTGCCTCACAATCCTCCCTGGTTTTCACCACCCTGAACAACTTCGTATCATCCGCAAATTTAGCCACTTCACTGCTTACTCCCAACTCCAAATCATTAATGAACAAGTTAAAAAGCAGTGGACCAAGTACTGATGGGCTTGATCCTTCCCTGCAGGGTTCAGTGGCATCATGGGCATTAATAGCATCCCCCCCCTTGCGTGTCTTGTCTTGTGCAAACTGTCTTTACCCATTCTTTCATATTTGTTATTCAGCGTTCAGTGCTGTTGATTTTAGTTGCTGTTGACTTTAATAGACATAAATATAAAATGAATTTCACTGCAAGAGGAGGCGTTTTCAGAATGTAACCTTCTGTGTGTTGGTGCAGGTCGTAGCGCAGCCCCATCCCTCTATCGCGCCATACATTTGAAACCAAAGGCCTCATGGCTGAAGAGCACTGGTTCTTCTGATCTTAAAAAGTCGCTACTGATGGATCTGGCTGTCCTGACCCTTTTCTGTGTGATTCAGTGGAACAAAGCTCCCATCTGGGATAGCAGGGTTCATTTCCCTTTATTTTTGCCCTTTAATTCCAATGTCTTTCCATTGCAGTGCCTGCAACAAAGCTGAGTGCCATGACAAGGCCCAGTATTGGCCCCTGTCAGTGCAAGTACGACCTGATGGTCTTCTTTGAGATCTGTGAGCTGGAGGCCAATGGCGAGTAAGTGATTCTCTTTGCCTGTAGAGGGGAGGGAAGAGGAGGGTGGTTCACTTTTGGTTCCAGAAACAATCGCTAGAAGGTTCACCCACCAGAAAGCTTTCACCAAAGTTTTAAGTGGCAATTCATATGACTAGACCCTTGTGTGGCCAGCTGGATGGCACCATGAGGCCTGAGTGGGGTGTTCCCAACAACCCCGCTATAAGTAAACACAGCTGGTCTGGAAGTGACAGACTACTGCCAATGGAGGGGTGAGGCCCATCCCTGCCACCCATCTCATCAAAAGGAGGTCTTGGGCCAGCAGAAAGCTGTTGGGAGACAGAGCTATGGAGAGGCATGCAGGTCCAGGGCAAGGGCAAGCCTCGGGCAACTGATGTGTCGAGGACCCTCCGGAAGCTCTGCCTCCCAACATAAGTCTGGGCAGGGAGCCTATCCCAGTGGCAAATCAGGAGGCCCCAAAAGCCCCCAGAGTACAGAGATAATTTCCCCTGGAGAAAATGGATGATTTGGAAGGTGAACTGTAGGGCATTGCACCCCACGGAGGTCCCTGTCCTCCTCAGACTCCACCCCCAAATCTCCAGGAGTTTCCTAACCTGCATCCTGCCTCCCCCGCTGGTATCTAAGGGGGACCTGGCAACCCTGCCTAGGACTAAAGGAGGGGCTAGAAGGTTGGCCCAGGAAGAAGCCAGTGAAGGGGAAGTGATACTTAAGTGGGAGAAGGGCAGAATGCAAGAGGAGGACACACTGGTGTGAAGGGACCCAACAGTGAGGCACAGCAACCCATAATGGAAAAGAGGGAAACACTGTAAAAAGACCCCGCCCACCTGGGCCAAGGAGGAACCTTGGGGAGCCTGCCTCCTCCCATCGGGGCCCGGGGCCCAGTCTGGGACTATGGGGTGGTGACACCTTCTAAAGCAAATTCAGCTTTACAGGAGTCTGACTGAAATTCATTAAATGGACCCAGAACCCTACAAGCCTCCTTTTGCCTTTGTACAACTCACCTGCTTTCATGTGTCCACCAAGCAAAGGCAGAAAATTGCAAGCTATGCACAAACTTTGCAGATGGTTCAGGGGTTGGGAGGGGGGAGGGACCCCATGTAGGAATGAAAAGCAGCACTCTGCATCATATCATTTTCCACCCAAACGCAGGGTGACTAGAGGTAAAGAACGCACAGATCACCTGTACCTTTAACAATCATAGAGACAAAGAGATTTCAGCATATACCTCTTGTCATGTCACAATATAACAAGAGCTGTTCTTGCCATTTTTTCCCCTTCTGTGTGAATATAAAAGGTACAGGAGTTCTGTCCTCATTGTCATGTGGCTCACCCTATCTTGAAGTTGTGTGGGGGAGCCAAAGCTATCAACCCCAAACCCCCACCACCACACACATACATACTGCTGGTACAGCTGTGAGCCTTTTAAGACATGCTGCGGCTATAGCATGGCAAGAGCCCCAGCTGATGGAGTTCCAGCCACTTATCAATACAACTTGGCTCCCAGGGCCTCGATGTCTTGCAAGAACTACTTATAAAACTAAGTGCAAAGGGGCATTAGTGCCGTTTCCTCACTGTGAGGTCCTATTTAAGCCAGTCCCTCAGGAAGCTTAAGAACAGGTATCACAGGTGATCTGGAGGTGAGGTTCAACTCCAGGACTGATTTCGCACAGGGAGCTGCGCCGCCGTCACGCCTCCCTTTGCCCCACTTCTATTGGTCAATTTCCCACTCGAAGCCACGCGGCCGCATTTTGACCTACGGCTTCGCCCGATTTTCCCCGCGGTTTTGTGATCCAGGTGTGAAGAGAGCACCCATAGGAAATTTAACTTTCTTTCTTGATCTGAGGCTCGGCAGGCACTGGCATCCAGCCCTTGGTAATCTGTGGTTGAAGTGATATAGCCACTAGTAAACTACACATAGGGATGCTGCCCCTCTTGGGGTTCTAAAGTGGGCTGCAGACACCCCACAAGTTATCCATTTGCTCACTAAAGCATGACACAGAAAGTTTCCTATACATGTTTAATTTGCAAGTCTTACCTTTCGTCCAATAATGAATATTTGTAAATGCAAGTTGAAATCAAGCTACACATTCAAATGATTTGTAGAGAGTTTAGCAGAAGGTATGTTAATACTGGGGTTTAATAGTTTACTAATGTTTAATTAGTTGCATGCTTTTAAAAAATCAAGTTTTACTTTGCAAGTCCCCTAGAGCAGATTCTCTGGAGAGGTGGCATAGAAATTTTCTAAATAAATAAATACTGAAAATGTAAAAGTCAAACTGGGGTGGGGAGAATACTGCCTACTGAGAAAAAGGCATAAATAAATTTATTCGCAGGTGATCATGCATAATTCAGTGTACCATCTTTGTGCTGCTCAATATGATCATACTAATTTATTTTGGGATACATTTCTGTAGAATCAGGAACATCCCGCCCCATTCTTAACTGTGCTTTTCAGCTGAGAAGATATTTTACTGTTCACCTTTCAGTAAGCTTGAAAGCTCTTGTTCTCCCTCTGACTCTGTGTTTCTTCACCTTCATTTCTGCCCTGAAACATCAAGGGTTGTTATGAGAAACATTGTACAGTAAAGTCTTTGTTATCTGGGACCGGATTATCCAGAATGCTCAGGTAACTGGCATTGCCAAGCAGGCAAACATGGGAGGAAGGGGGAGGGTCTCACCAGACATGAGGACTGTTACAATGGCATTCCCAGTGGAGTGGGATTTAGTTGCTGTGGAGTCCTTTGGGTGAGAGAGTGGGGTAGAGCAATATACTTGAGTATCCAGCACATTTGATTAACCCACGACTTCCTCATTCCCTATGACTGTCAGATAACAAAGCTTTTACTGTACTTTGAAACTGAAGGACAGATGGTGCAAGCCATCCCAACTCTAGCATTATGCCTGAAGGCATACAGACCACAGTGATGTGATACAGCAGTAATTGTCCCTTTCTGTCATTTAGGTCCCTTTATGGGATGGTGGCTTGGAATCACAGTGGTGTGGTTGTTCAGGGTGATCACATGTCATTGCAAAGCTAGCACACAACCAATGCTCCCTCTAAGTTGTGGAATCTTGTGAGCAAAAATTCTATTTTGTGAGCTACTGGCATTAAAGTTGTGAGCAAACAATTTGGCTACTGTATAAATTAGTTTGCTCTGGAGCCATCCTTCCTGAGCTAAGACAAAAATGCATGAGTCAGAGGCTAAAAAATTGTGAGCCAGCTCACACTAACTCGCTTAGAGGGAACATTGCACACAACTGTCCTGTACAAAAACAAACAAACTAATATGTGGACATGTCTTTAGCATGATAATGTTGGGAATCCAGAGGAGTCTTGCTAATGGTAGATTTGCTTGCCCTGTTTCTGGGGCTGGGGGATATGGGGCAGATATTCCATATTTGGTCTTACTGAAGTTCTCTTTTCCAGCTATATCCCTGCTGTTGTGGATCACCGTGGAGGAATGCCTTGCCATGGAACATTCCTGTTACACCAGGTATTTTCTGTCTCATCCCTTGAGCCCAGTGACCAATCACTAGTGCTGCACCAAATTTTTGCAGGATTTTTTTTTCTGCATGAAAATTGATGATTTAGGAGGGTAAGCCAAAGACAAACCATCCCTCATGAAAAACAAACATGTTTTGCCCCAAACAACTGGTCCTTTGGAGCAGATTGGCAGCACGATCTACAGTCCTCCCCTTCAAGGGTGTAGACTTTCCAATTTCCCGGGGGGGGCTGGGGCTCGACCAGAGGCATTGCTTTGCTAGGAGCAAGGGTGGCTCCCGGGGGAGGCTGAGTACCTTCCTGAAAATTTCGGCGGGGGCTCACGCCCCGCCGCCCCCACGAAGATTACGCCTATGCTCCCCTTCTTTTAGCAAAGTGGACTTCGAAGTAAACAATCCACAGAAAGATCTGAGAGAGGAGGACCATTCTCCAGGTCCCCTCCTTGAAAGACCACTTTTAAAAATGTGGTCTGCAGTGGGGAGCGCATCCTTCCCCCTTTCTGGCAGTCATTTTAAAAGAGCCAAACATTTTTGCTCCTCAAAATCACCGAAAAGCAGGTGCGTGCTTTTCATAGAGGGTGAAAGGTTTCAGCTCCACCAACAGTCACAAGTCTTGTAACAACTGTCCTGTTTCTCTCTGGGCATGATGGCTGGCAGGGTATCCAAAGGAGAATCACAGTCACCTTGGTGCATGAGACAGGCAGCCACATCCGCTGGAAGGAAGTACGAGAGCTGGTTGTGGGTAAGCAAAGCTGTGCCTGACTCCCCCCTTGTCTCTACCCTTTTCTGTATCTCAGCCATGGCTGAAGTTAGACAGTTGCCTGAACAGAACAGAACAGAGCAGTCACAGTCCTAAACGCTACCAGAACCTGAGAGGCTGCTATATGAATGCGGAGGCTATCCACTGGGGGTCAAAAACAGCATCACTGGTCCCTAGGCAATGTTAGGCTCTAAGCAATCTTGCTGGCTACAACATAAGAACATTCCTACAGGTTGTCAGTTCAGGCAGGCAGTACTTAAACTTGATGCTGGAGTATAGTACAGTGAAATCCATCTGCACTGCACAGTGTGAAGAGCTAGTCAAGCCCTAAAACTTCAGAGTTGGAAGGCTTGGTTGAAGTAATTAACTTTGCTTATGCAGGCAAATTCTGAGAGGTTGCCAAATTATATGAGAAATAGACATGGTGTGATAAGCCCGCTGCTGGTTCTCTTTGTTCCCAAAGCAGCATGGATCTGTATGGTGAGAAATGTTGAAATTAATTGGCAGTATGGCCATATCTGGACCTCAGAACTGACAAGAGAAGACAGGTGTAAGGGTTATAGCCCAGTGAAGGAGCATCACTTCACTTTAAAGGCTCAAAGACATGCTCTCTCTGACTCTCCTTCAGCCAGGACAAAGATAAATTAGCTGAGCATCAGTGTTCCCTCTAAGCTGAGTTAGTGTGAGCTAGCCCACAGATTTTTAGCCTCCAGCTCACACATTTTTGTCTTAGCTCAGGAAGGAGGGCTCCAGAGCAAACTAACTTATGCAGTAGCCAGATTGCTCGCCCATAACTTTAATGCCGGTAGCTCACAAAATAGAATTTTTGCTCACAAGACTCCACAGCTTAGAGGGAACATTGCTGAGCATTATTTTCTGCTTGCAGGTCGAATCAGAAACACCCCAGAAGGAGATGAATCGCTCATTGACCCCAACATCCTCTCTCTGAACATACTGTCATCAGGATACATCCCCCCCTCCCAGGATGATCGGTGAGTTCAAAGCATTCTCCGAGCATGCCGTGTTCATATAACCTGGGGCATAACAGGGCCTCCCTGAAGGTCTTCAGGGAATGTAAGCCAAACTACATGTTACCTGTGACACCAGTGAGCCCCAGGAACACCGACCTGATTGTGTCCTTTTTTGCAGACAGACATGATGTTGTGGAACTAACATTCCCAAGCATGCCAGGGTTCAGGAGAGGGACACAGGAGGAGGAGGAACTTCCTCCCTTCCCTCCCGCACTGGTTTTCCCATGATGGGTCATATTTGCCCTGCTACCTGACACATCACAGGTAATGTGTCATTTGGCCTTAAGTGTGTGGGAGGAGACTTTATTCCCAAAGCTCCTTCCCCTTATGCCAGGGCAGCAAATAGGCTGAAGCCATGCTGACACTAACTGAATGTCCAGACTAGTAAGGAGAAAGACCACTGGGTCCTAAATCCTTTCTCTTGGCACCTCCCTGACACGAGCTTTTACCAAGGTGGTAGCTGATATCCCAGACAGACGAGCTAATTTTCCTTATATCATTTTGTCTTGGCAGTGAGCATGTGGCTCCTTGTCATAGAATGGCCAGGAGACTACACTCATTTGAACAGGGTTCTTGGATTGCGCCTCTGCTTGTACTGTAGCAACAATTGCTTTGGTGCATTAAAATGGCTCTGGCAGAATTTTGAAAGCCTTTTGAAATGGCAGCGTAAGCAAAGTAGTTTCCCTTGCTGTGAAGGCCTACTCTCTCATACGGCTTCCTGAGTAAGTCCAAAGCCAGGCTTCAGTACAGCAGTGTGATAATGTCTGGCAAACTATCCTGCTGTGCTGCATAGGATAACAAACCTCATTCCTCTCAGGTCCACCACTGCAATGGGACTGAACAATAGTCCTGCAGCTTAGTGGTCTTTGGGCAGATGTCGCAGAGGCCTGTTACCGCTTTCATGTCTTGTGTAGTAGGGACTGATATTCTGGGGGAAGTTAAAAGGAGAGAATTAGGATTTGTCAGCAGTTGCTTGAAGATCTTTCTAGGCTCCTTGGGACTTCAGTAGTAGTGCATTCATCAAACACTTTATGACAGGAAGCAAATCCTGGGAAATGGTATCGTGTTGTGGCACTGATAATGCATAAGACAGAAGACTGTACATAGTTGTACATATGGCGTAATAATGCTATTACACATTTTATACTAGAAGAGTGGCAGGCAGGGAGGCAACATGCATTCCGTTTTGAGGCTTCTCTCACCTTTCGGGGGGTTGAGGGAAGGGATCCCCCCCCCCTCGTTGCAGATCTCTGACTGCTCCATCATGCTGTTTGTGGGAGTCCACTGTCCCCCAGGACCAGTGTTTTGGGGGCATTTCACATGCAGCAGGAGGGGGGGGGCGAAAAAGTCCTGCTCTGCTGATGGAAATCCCTTCAGTCAGTGGAGATTTTCTGTGTGATCCAAGCTGAGATCTAGAAGTATCTAGCTGTATAGGTCTACTTTATCATTAATAAAATAGCCAAGTACCTCTTACCAGGCTTTTCCCTTCAGCATTCATTTCTAATCAGACACTTAATATACATCATTGGTCCAAATCTCTGGCAAAAAAACCCTCTACAGTCCTATATAGGTGAGTGTGAAAATGTTGAGACGGGTGCAATGTGGATAAACCTGTGGATGAGGGAAAGTGTCCGTGTATGAGATGAACTGCAGAAACTGATGAAGAAGAGCTAAAAAGAAAGATGGACTGTTTGAAGGGAGTAAGTTGGCCTGGAGTAAGGATTATGCATTGCAGGATGGTGGCATTAAAAGGGAAGAAGAATTGGCCCCAATTGGGCTGCTATTAGTATTAATTTCTGCAGGATTTTTTCTTTCAAATGAACAATTAATACACTAATAAGGAAATATATACATAAAAACAAAGAACCTGGAAAAACAGGGCCAGCTACGCCACTCTGGGCTTTCCCACATTCTCATTTTATTTGCTGTTAAGTTTCTATTTCTTCCCTAGGGGGTGGTGGTGTTTGTGTGTTTGTCTGTCTGTCCTGTCCCGCATGTGTTTTGCTCCTTCTAGTGGCCGATTCAATATCAAACAGCTTTATTTCCAGCTTCTCTTCCTGCAAAGCTGGAAATAAAACTGGGTGATATCAAATTGACCGGTAGAGGGAGCAGAAGACATGTGCGGAACAGGAAAAACCTTCCAAAGAAACAGGAACTTAACAGTGAGTAAAATGAGGATGCAGAAAAGCCTTCTATTCACAACTACACTGTTTTTTAATCATCTAAACAGCTGTTGCATTGATTAATATGGAGGGAGACATCATTTATATAAAGCTGCTGCCTGATGACAGTTTATCTAGCAGCAGTAACTACATGCCTAGAAGTAAAACAGAAAAACCTTGTAAAAAAAGTACCTCTTTGCACAGCACAGATGTTTACTGCCCCTATTGCTGATGCTTCTCAACAGTTGTTTTTCTCCTGCCTTGATCTTGCTAGTGTGTTTGGCTAATGGGGATAAGAAGAACAACTGGCTTGCAGGTATCCAGGATAACAGCATACTGGTTATCCAAAAATGTCTTACATATGATGAATGAAGGAAGGTGATGTTTTAGATCTAGTTAAAAATTTCTGCTGACAGAAGGGGGTTGATTTTTTGCCAAATATTGCCACCAATTGCAGACCTCCAGTGCCCCCCCCCGTGCTGTTTATGGGAGTCCCCTGTACCCAAAGAGCAACATTTCAGAGTGTTTTGCACTGCTGCAGGAGGGAGGAGGCGAAGAAGTCCTGCTGTAATATACCTTCTGTTCGTGGAGATTTTCCATGTGACCAGGAAACTCAGAGGGGTTTGATGGAATTGGCCTAAAGGAATGAAAAGCAAGCTGTCCTAATTGTGCAGTCCAGTTAACGGAGTGCTCAGTCTCTCCCTGCTGACTGGATTAAAGCTCAACTGCATATTCTAGGCAGGGGTCATTTCTTGTGGGGTGGCAGTCCGGCAGTAAGGAGCCCCGCCCCCTGCTCCCAGCAGCCCTCAGTCAGGCCACAAGGAGCAAGAAGCGGCCAGGTAAGTTGCAGAGCCCCCCCCCCACAACCCACCTTCAGGTACAAGCTCTCCCTCCTCTGTGAGGGCAGATCTGCGCGTTCCCACCCCCATAGCTAGCAATCAAAAACAGTCCAGTGGCACCTTTAAGACCAAGTTCTATTCAGGTACTAGCTCTCCCTCCTCTGTGAGGGCAGATCTGCACGTTCCCCCCTCCCCCAATAGCTAGCAATCCAAAACAGTCCAGTGGAGCCTGAGCGGTGGGTGTTGCCTTCTGACACACTTCCAGTGATGTCAGGGGGTGTGGCATATGTAAATAAGTTATGCTAATAAGTTATGCTAATAAGCTCCTGCACCTCTTTTTCTACGAAATGACCCCTGATTCTAGGTATAGTTTTATTCCGTTTCTTTCTCATTCAAGTTCTCCAGCTGTGGACAGGAGACTTAAGCATGACTTTTATAGGAATTAGTGGGTTTAGCACAGGTTGGCTTGCTTACATTTTATTATTTAATTGATCTGTAACATTTACTAGCTAACACTTTCTGCTAAACATGGCATCGAAAGCAAAATATATGATAAAATAAATATGTCAAGCTATAAAACACTGAGAGCAAGGGGAACAGAAAGGATTGTATTAAGCCATCTGTTAGGGGAAGGGGAGGTAGGGAACTTTGTATGCAAGAAGATTTGTGTTTTGTTTCTGCCTGTCTGTATCGCTACCTGGTATATAAGCATTATTTCCAGCGGCCTTCATGGATGAAAACTATACTACTATCTTCTTTTTTGGCCAGCACCTCAGAGATATTAAAAATGGCCAGTAACTGTCAGGCGGAGGAAGAAAAAGGGGGGAAAGCTACTGCAGCAATTGAGGAAGACACGGGAAAATTCTCTGTCTTCCAGATGCCCCATCCTTCAATTCTGCACGGGCTTTTGGGGCTTGCTTTGGATCTTGATGTTGCTGGAGTGAGCAGAGTTTATGGGTGGGAATATTTGCAATCTGCCTTTTGAACCTATTGCTTTAGCTCCCTGCTTTGCTATTATGTGCAATCCCATGGCTTTCTCAGAAACCAGCCTCAAGCAACCATCTTTTGGGATTTCTTACTTTATACTCCCATACTGACAATGAGAAAAAACTGCCACTGGTTTCATTCTTATAAACGAAGAGAGGGTCTCTGAAATTCCTTACTGTCATGGCATTAAGCCTGCACAGTCCTGAACATTAAGGATTCTTCCGATTTGATGGAATGGTCTCTGCATTGCAGGCAGACCTTTCGAAGTCTGAGCAGTTGTTGCTGTAAGGATCTGAGGCAGAACTTACTCCAGGAATTCAAGTTGTCATTGCAGTCTTTTGATTTCAGTATATGAGGACTGTTCTGTTACTTTTCACATTTGTGATCAAGGTGATATATATCAGATTCAGTCATTTTATCCTCACAAGACCCTTTTGAGATCAGTTAGGCCTAATCAAAATTTGATTTATCCACCCAGAGAGCTTCATCACTGAGCAGGGATTGGAATTCCTGTCTCCACAGTGCAGGTCCAGTACCCTATCCACTACACAACAGTGATTCTCAGTGTGTTACTCCTCACACTCATCATTGAGCCTGTGGGCCAGACTAGACACTACCTTAGTTTACTACTTCACATGGTGTAGGGAGCAAGGGCTCATCTACCTGACACACTTATTCCACCTCCAAAGATCTGCCTGGGGGTTAGCATCCAAACTTGGTGTATGCATGTACACACTGGATAACAGATACCTGGATTTTATTAGGAAATTGACCACATGATCTGTGTGCCTTATTCAGATGTTAAGCCATGTGTTCAGAGACAGAGTAGGTGGGGTGGGAGAAGGAGAAGAAGTCCTCCCTTGCTTCTCACCACCTGTAGTGGATTGATCAGCAAACATAACATCTGACCTAGCCAGCCCTTATCTAAATGGTCGTGAAGCTTCGCTGTTCCCTGCTGCAGCCTGAGGTGGCA